TTTACTAAAAAAAAACGACCAAAACACGGTGCAGTGTCGAGGCCGGACCGGTGTAATATAATATCGTGTTTCGCCAGGACAAAAATATACGAGCACAGTTGTTTTATTATATTTTGTTTTTTTATCTTATAGTGGACCTTTGAAGCTACGTCAACTACACGCGCGCATATGCAAATCCAGATAGAATTTTATTACCGAAAACTATATACTACATATTAAAAGCAATGGGTAAAAAAAACTCAAAAACTACTCAACGAATATTCACTGTTCAACGAGTATTACAACATAAATACAATAATAATAACAATAAAAAAACACGACTTATGGCCTCTTTCTGGAAATAAATAGGTTTCCATTTTAAATGACGACCGTTCAAACTAAAGGTGTTCGTATTAAAACATAATATTCGCGTTCAGTATTGTGGAGGTTCGTAAGATAGGTCACAGAAAATATATTATCCCGAGATTACAATAATGCTTCACGCAGATTAATATTTTTAATTAAATATTTTAGAAACACTTGATTAATTAAAAATAATTCCGTCTCGAAAAAAAACACCATAACATAATGTATCTTAAAGCCTTTAGATAAATTCTCATCATAAATCTTGGTGGTAACCCATTTTTATTATTATCACCACAAAACTACTGGAATTTGTATAATATATTTTTTAATAAAACATTTGAAAATAACACCATTTGTTATATTTTGTGGAAACCAAATACAGACTTAAAGTTTATAGTACTTTAATCATAATACGATATATAAACGAGAATCCTATTATAAAAAAAAAAAACTAGTAATTCATTTTAATGGGTTTATATTTTATTTTTACTCGATTACTGTCTGTTATATAACACGCGTGCGCTTAATAACAGTAGTGTTTTAAACGGCTAATAACGAATTAAGACGAATCACCCTCAAAGCAACTGCAATGCAGAGACGATATACAGGTGACTACGTATATAAATAATATATACATTCACTTGTATACCGTCTCTCTCTCTATATATAGGTACAAGGTGTTTTTTTTATCGTGAGCCACTCAATATCTCGATGGGTTTAATTTTTTTTTTGCACAGCGTTTTTAAACAATTTAGATCTCTAAATCTCACAAATGTTTATGTTTTTAACCCCCTTCCAAACGAATTATTTTGAAATTTAAATGATAACGTACATATTTTATTAACTTTTTAAATTAAGAATATTTTACTAAAAACTTTGACTATTCGATAGCCAACTTTTGAACAACTATTTTTACAGCTATAAGAGATTAAAAGTTAGGACGGGAAAGGAAGTGCGCGCAGGTAAAAATAATACTACACTCCAACTTTCCTCCAACCCCAAACTTGAAACTTCAAAGTCAATATGTTTAGTACATTATTCTGAATTTAAAAAGTTAATGTGACCGGTATGCGTTACACCATTTAAGTTTTAAAAGTAGATAGAAAAATAATTGGTTTGGGAGAGGGTTGGAACATAGAAATTTGTGGGAAAATTGAGATCACATTATATAAAAACAATATATTAATTAAACTCTCGTTGAGATATTGACTGGCTGGCGCTAAAAAAAATCACCCGGTATATATGCATATATATATATATATATATATATATATAACGTGTATATAGTAAGTGTCTTCTTCTTGCTTACGTCTTATGCCCCAATCCATCATGTCTGAAGTGTCGGTGTCGCCGTCAGAACACACTAAACCCGAGGAGGCGACCGTCCGTCGTCGTCGTCGTCACACGTCAAGCGGTTACAACGTCCTTGACCGAGGCGACCCCTCGTACGGTACACAGAGATATAGACGGTTGTACATAATAATTTAATACTATTACTATTATTGTTATTTTAAATCACAATTCGTGTCGAAGTCGATAATGCCAAAACAACGGCGGTGTTGTGACGACGGTACACGCGCAAGCTGTGTCGGCGGTTAAGCGGTAAAAGCTTTGACGATAGACACAACAGCATGTCTAGTTCTCTGCTAAATCCAGATCGGCAAAAAAAACACAGTACACATAATAATTATTGAACTTTGATAACACGCGACACGTGTACACGCGAAACCGATGGCGTATAAATACACCCGACTGCAGTCGTTGACATGAGGTGACTTAAGTACTGCTAAATTATAAAAATAAATTAAGATAATAATAAAAAAAAGTACTAGTCTGATCGTTTAAAGGAGACACGCGACCGGCAAGTAAGCGACAGCGTGACTGCCGCTTTCGGAGTCTCTTTTAACGGTCGCACCGTCGGCGAACGCGCCCGGTGACCGCCACCGCAGTCGAGGCTACTGCTGCAGGGGATGATCCCCTCGCAGAGGAGACGACTGCCGAGGACGTGGGAGCTTTCCTACACAGCTAAAGTACACACACACACCAATCACCATACAAAAGCATTGCACACAAAGACGACTGACAGTGGTGCTAAATTATCAAATCGCTATTATATAAATACATATTTTATGCATACACCGTACACACGCACACAAACAATACAGCAACACAACAACAGAAAAAACGACCTAAATATTTTTTAAACGGTCAACGTGGAACAATCGTACCAAAAGTATGGTAAAGGGAATTTCAGACATTTGACATGATATAAGTATTTTCTGAACCGTCGGCAAGTTTTAAAATCATTCAAACCACGATTTACCTATAGTATGTAAAAGCTTAAAAATCAATGGTCTAAATCATTTACACACGCAGTCAATGGATAATTGCACTGCGAAGAGTCTTACGGATGAAAAGTACTTTTCTCTCTATTAATTAAACGAACGAGGCTTCTCCCCCTAACTTTCTTCAAATTGAATGCGATTAATGCGAAAACTGGCCAAATTAAAAAATATAGCAATGTCTAAAAAGTAAAACTATTTAACCAAATAGAGAATATAACATCAGTTTTTGCTGAAAAGGTGTAAAGGATGCGTTTGACAGAAAAAAATAGCCCGCCCGCATTACAAGTCATCATCCAAATAGCTAAAGTACGTTTTTTGTGGCACCGAGTTTTAATCTAATTATATTGCGAAGGAAAATATTTTGAAAATCTAAAAAGGTTGGCGAAAGCACATATTATTCGAACTCAAACAACAAAATTCTAACTTGTAACATTGTGTAACTTGTAATATTCTGCGAGAACGTAATAAGTAATAACAAGTTTATCCATAAAACAAGGCCAAGGTAAGGCAAATTTTGTTTTTGCGGTGAAATGTTTTACATTTTACAAAAGTTCATGCCACCACCCAGCACCACTATACATAATCGACTATAGAATTAAAGTGTAAAATTAATTATGCAATGCGGTTTATAAAAATAGCGTCTGCGATAATATCCCGCACCCATACAGTAAACACTCGAGTACATAAGGAAACCATAATAATATTAAACAGCTTTAAAAATTTGCAATTTTCACCACCTCGTGAGCATTAATTGTTTAAGCATTTCATTTTGTAACAAAAAAAAAACAATTTTCTTATATCATCAGCAAGTTTTCTACTGTGCAAATAATAAATAAGATAAAAGCAATCGTACTACAATAAATACGCAAACCCATGTAAAACAAATATTAAATTAGTATAAATAATTACCAAAAATATAATCTTAAACGTAAGAACTCGTGATTTGTAGTGCCTAATACAATTGAAACTTATACAAATTACCTTTCAAAATTTGCTTACATCGGTTTAAAAATGTAATAATCGTATCACAAATAACAATGACCACAACTTTAAGTCTAATATTACCAAATTCAACTCGACGGCATTGGCAGTTTCATTTTTAGATTAACATAAAACGCGTTACAACCGTAAGCTTCGGAGTCGTTTTTGGTTGTGAATAACATTAAGTTTATTTTACCCAAAATCTGATAAAATACTAATGAAATAAACCTAGCACGCGAATTTTCCAAGCAAATTAACGTCATTATTTAACGTATAAAAATAATGTAATTTTTTTTTTTATATAAAACGAAACAGTAAAATAATTTATGATAAATTACCCCTTATGTTGAAAACTTGGATCATTTATACAACACTTACCTAATGAAAATAGCGTAGTATTAAACAAACCAAACTTTGATTTCATAAAACTTAATTTGTATTTTTAATATAATGATTTTAATATCATCAAAGTAAATGAAAAATACACTACCCATTCATTTGGTTGGCTCATTGCTGTTTGACCTAATTTCGCAACTTCATTGGGAGTACTCAGTACTTACAAAGACTAATTATTTACATATAATATACATGTATAAAACAACTATAGCCCGATTCCCATTTTTTTTTTTAAATAACTAACGCTTTTTTAAGAATAAAATACATCTTGTATAAATTTAGAATATCTAACAAAAAGAGAAGAAATAAAACCTGTCACCGAAAATCCTTTTTCTAAGTATATCATTATTTTTTTTTTTCACGAAATTACTTTCAACTCGACAATAAACACAGTAAAAAAAATAAAAACAGAAAAGAGTAACTTATAAAAAAAAAAATACTTTAAGATACCAACTAATTATCACGAGGCTTACAATATAGAATCAAACTTTAAAAACGTTCAACTTATCCAAATATTAATACATTAAAATGAAATTGCACAAAATAATAATTAGTTCGGGGCATATTTAATATTAAACATAAAATGAAAAATGTTAATTTCAAACCGTCAAAACCGTTTTAAAGCGAATAATTTTATACTTTATATAGCAGTTAATATTTACTCAATTTATATCTAGGCTAATCTTTTACATACATAGAGCAATTAAATATAGATTATCTAACATATGTTATTATGGACATTTTACGATAGTTAACATTTATTAATGTTCTTAAGTAATAAATCAGTTTAGTTTACGACTAATTCATTATTTTGTGTATTCATTCAAAGGAAATAAATGATCACTTACCCCTCAATGAACGACTAAATAGATGTACGAAAACCGTTATCAAGCCAAATGAATATAAATGAAGTCGATATTATAATTTACTTACCTCTTGTCTGGGGATGGTTCATGAGAATAGCTAATGGACATTCGTCGTCATCCAATATATATTCCCTATTATTATTGTTCAGCGTTTCTTTGTTCTCAGAAACGCCGTTATTCAATCCAGAATTATTTTCGTTTGGGATAACTGCGTTGTTTACCTAAAATAAAGAAAATTAATTTATAAAACTAGTTTGGTAAGAGGATACTTGGGAAGAAGATAATTCAATAAAACACATACTTGCACAAGGCAGAAATTGAGGGGATCAACTTTATCTAAACCATACTTTGCCAACATTTCTTTAACGACTTGCTGTGCAGTATCTCTAATAGATAATAATAACGTCTTATACGGCACGTCTCTACAAAGTGATTCTCCGTAAATTTTAAGTGTGCCACCAGTGTCGGGACCACCGTCTTTACTGCGGAACGCCTGTAGTTTACGCTCTAACTTTTGCTGACGTCTTCGACGCATAACAGCTTCAGGATTCGATATTGACCTGGTAAAACTGGTTTCTGGTAACTCTGTAAGACAAATATTAGACCAAATTAATTTATTAAAATATAGAATTTAATTACATTTATTAAATAATAAAAATGGAAAATTTAAATATAGAACATTTTTTTTTTTAATACAATAAATTCGAATTGATAATTTTATGAAATATATGGCGTTCCTTCTTTAGCTGGTTTGACAGCTCTATTTTTTTTTAACTTAAGAAGAAAACATATACTTAAAATATATAAATTCTATACAAAAATATATAGAAATTAAATAGTACATTTTAATTTTAACACTTGCACTTTTTATAAATCAAATATTATTGGTTGACATATTTTAAAAGTTAACAAACAAAAATTCAATCTTCATAATTATAGATATCGTTGGTATATTTTACATTATATTCAGTAAAAAAAAAATGTATGAGCTATGTTGGATTTTAAAAGTTAACTCTTTAATTGCATTAAAAACCCGTTGACAAGCAAAGTAATCATTTACAAGAACTCGAAGAGTCAAGGAAGCTATTGATAATTTTGACTAGTTACTTTTAAAAAAAAAGAACAATTTAAAAATAACCATAAAATAGTCATTCTACACAAGTAAATACTATTTTTAACAATTATTTTTCAAATAAAATAGTACTGTTTACAAATAAAATAAGACATTTTAAATCGAATTAAATTAGATAATTTAGATACATTTAGACTAATTATGTTATTTAGTCAATTGGCTTTCTTAATTAATTTTTTATCTATCCAACAACAGTCAAATCAGACAGTTCTGCGATATCAGTCAAATGATCCATCACATAATTAATCGATAGTAGATGATGTAAACTGACTAGATAGCGTCGAGAGAACCTGTTGAGCGATTAAACATACCTGTATACAGTTTTTCGGCGACACCAGCGTCGTTTTCGTCGTTGGTGCTCAAACCATTACTTTTGGCTCGGTTAAGTTTTTCTTGTTTCTTAAGCTGTTTCTTCTCCCTTTTGGACAGCTTACGTTTAAAACTAGATCCAGCTTCTTGGAACGTACCGGCAGGCATCTGCAAAAAAATATCAAACAGACCGGTTAAAATAAAACAACGATCGGACATCAATGTCGATCAAGCGAATATTATACTTACATTTGTTTTTTCGTCTATTCGTCTTAACAAAAATCTGCCTTCTCGGTCGTCCTTATGCCAATTCAACTGCACCAACAGGGGCTTTTCATCGACCCCTAATTTTCTCTCGTCTGGAAACATAACATATGGTACTGAATTCATGACCGCGTAAAAACATGCCCTATACTATATGCACGCCAGCTATAGACGCGCTGCTTCTAGGCTTAAAACCTATTGGAATGCTAACGCAGCGCTATAAACGGAAACTATTATGAAATATAAACTTGAACATGAGTTCCATAGTGTTCTCGAGGCAGAGTATCATATGGAATATTACAATTAAAAATATCTTAAGAAAATAGTACGTTTTAATAATTATAGACTATATACATATATAGTACTTAATTGTCGAGAGGTAATAACCATCTGGTTAATATCGTAATAAAACTATATTCGACGTTACGATATCTGTAGCGCGATGATATAAGAAAAGAAGCAGAATGAAAACCTTGTACATTTTTAGAATTCTCTTAGGCCTTAGCTAGAAGTAATTATAATAACAAATAAATCGTGTGTAAAATAAATAAAATGTACCTATGTAGTTTATTTGGCCGGACGTTCGAGCCTAATACTATTTTCTTACCTCCATTTTCGTGTATCTCGTAGAGGGCATACTCCGGAACTGACAACATCCTCATGTCCGGCCGGAACTTCTCGATAAGGGTTTCAATGACGGCTTGTGAAGTAGCGTCCGAAGCGACTCGGATGCACTTCGTGGCCACCTTTTGTCCCGTGCCAGGTTCTTGAAAGTAGAACCTCATAACACCGTGAAAAAGAAGTTCCTGAATAAATGGTATAAAAAAATAATATTAACAACATGCGGAACACACTATTTATTTAATAAATAACAAAAAAAAGGATTAACCGACAAAACATGCTATATGCCATTTTGAGTAGTAATTTGGAGCTAATCATACAAAAAGTCCCACACTCGATTAAAAAATGTCGAGGGTTCGCTAAAGCTACCAATCAGTTTATATAACATACAGAAGTTTTTTGATACACAGATCATTTTTAATTTATTATATTTTATAATAGCGTTCACATGATCCAGTAAAAATATACATAATAATTAAATAGTATATTTAATTTAAGTAATAATAAAAATAAATAACCTACAAATTTAAAGGTAATTTATACCAAATTAATGTGATTAAAAAGTATTATTTTTTACTGTTAGCACGAGAATATTAATTTAATTATTACACAAATTGCCACATTTTATTTTTTTTTTTAAATAATTATTAGAATAATTGTAGTAAATCTAATTATAACATCTAGGAATTGCACTAATATTTTTAAAAAAATAATAGAAACTCAATTAGAGTAATCATATGAGTATTAACATATTTTAGATATAGCTTTTGTTTTATATGTTTAAACGAATATTAAGGTAATTTTATATAGACCCTGTCACATCTATTAATAAATATTGTACGATTCGTATTAAATTTAAAAAAATTAACTATTTGTTTAAGAAAATGTCCAATTACACAATTTAATTTCATAATAAAAATGTCATACAAATATATTATTAGTTATTAGTTCTCAAACTGATACTCATGATAGGCTTCTTCTCGTGCAATCTCACGTCAAGAAGACATCGTCTCGACCCCGGGACAAGACATTGCAATGCGAGTGTTATATACAGAATCCGTTAGCAGAAATAGTTGACATTTTGACTAGACGAATTTTTTGTCGTCATACTCGAGTAATCATATCGGTATGTCATGAACGCGTTCATAATGTAAGGTAACTGAACCACGATGGGCAGTGGTTCTCAATCAACCGTACGCAAACGGCATGCGATTTATGCACGCACGCACAAACATTCACACAATATTATTATCTAATTGAGCGTTAATGCTAACTGTACCTACTACCTAATAATCGTTTGTTCAAAAAAAAAAAACTATGATTAAATTAATTTGTAAATAACAACAAGCGTTTTCACGGTAGACCGTAAGTATTACCAAAATTAGGCGCGTTCAACTCGGTCCGCTCTGACAGAAAAAAGGGGGTAACCACTAACCACCTGTTGTCTCGATCACCGAGTAACATTGTTGTTATCGCTCCACACAACCACCTGGCAACAATTCTCACGGTTGTAACGCAAAGCTACTAATTTCTCCAGCACATACCTACATGTGAGTACAGTTCGGACACAATCAACGTTCTGCAACGGTTACCGGGAATGTCATACAGACTCCGAGCAATAACCGCATACACCTTGTATCACTAGACCTGGATGTTAAATTTGTCATATTTGACGATAATATTTGTTTTCGTTCCATCAAAATCGCGAGCAGAGACATAAAATTACATATCTGTACTGTTGACACGTTGTTGAAAACAATACATTTACTTTATTTAAGTATAATAATAGGTTTTATACGATTGTTACTTATTTTATTTTACATTGTATAAATTACGACACACAAATTATACTTCAGGCGATTATTAATCAGACATACAGACATAATTTGTCAACTGCACATAGTAATTAATCGTCCAGTTAAGGAATTTAATACACTTAATATGCAAGAGTCCCATTCGTTGAAGTTAAGTAGTTTATATGATAGGGTGCTAGTTTCTTAAACAAAACCCGGTTACAAAACTTCAATTCTTGGTATACTATTATTCCTGATAAAAGAATCGCTTTACAGTAAATTAATAAAATAGAAAGTTTAATCAAACCTACGTTAGATTGTACATAAGTATTGAACAATACTTCGGAGAAAATCGTCGTTAAAACTTTTCATTTCGAAGAACAAAATAACTTTGGATTCTGTTCTAATTTTGGACAAATAATCATAATTAATAAGCATCCCTTTTGTCAAAATAAATAATAGTGGGCAAACAGAGAACAAAAATATAATCAAAAAGTTAAACAGTTTTTTTAACCAAAAGTTTTTTCATGACTAAAACTAGCGAACAAAAACATGATTCATAAAGTAATAATAATACTTTATGGCCAACAACTGACGGAAATCGATGAACTTAAAATTATAATATAATTATTAAATTACTTTCATGAAAATTTCCGATGGAAAAATTGTTATTGAATACTTAAATTTGTAAGAAATGACATATTCCATTTTTGTGCATCTCTAACCAATTTTTTTCTAATATATGTCGATCAAATTAAATTTGTATATTATCACTTCCAATTATGTAACCGCTTGAATTTAAATGTTAATTTTTTTTTAATTTTGTATGATCAAGTATACTTTAATTAAGTATGATACGTTACAATTTAATATGGCTACAAGGTCAATGAATGAGCCACACAACTAAATCTATTAAGAACTTATACAACGGTAATTTTAGCACACTTAGGTAAATCTATATCTAGCTGAATTTGTTTCATGGTAAATACGTCGAATAATTATTGAAATAAGCGTTCAATACTTGCTAATCCTATAATTTCTTCAGTGTTTATTTCATCTTAAATTTCTCATAATTGGATAAAAAAAAATTTCCTTAAAAAAAACAATAATTAACTACATAACAAATCTGGTGAAAGGCAACGCACTTGATCTGAAAGGTATTATACACTGCGACACTAAGGTTACTTTAGTAAAAAAAATATTTCTTTGTGAGGGAGCGTCAGATATTAAAATATTTATAAGAGGAAAAATAAATATATTTTTTTATACGCATGGCTATGTTAATAATTGCTGAAATATAATAAATATACAAATAAAATGATATGCAAAAAAAAGTACACTATGTAATGATTATACACCGTTGACGTGGGAGTTGTTGATGTGTCTAATCATTGCGGAATAAAATACATATAGGCGATTTCGGTCAGTGTCTCCGTACAACTCACAATATGTATTATGATATCGTAGAAACATTTTTCCATCTAATGCAAAAATGGTTCGATTAAAAAAAAAAACCTGTACTCATGCGAGCACGCACTGCTGAATAGCAGTTTATATTAGGATGACGGTTAATCATTTTATCTCAGCTCGATCGCAGTCAAAACATGACTGGGAAATAAATAAAATGCAAAATACAAGAAAGATATCGAAGATTAATATCGCATCAGTGTTGTATTAAATTATGTGTAGAATTATTTAAACGAAACAACTGCCAATAAGCCAACGACAGATGATAATAATGAATACTAATACATTATAATATACAACTACTGCGAAATGGCACGCATTAGCAATCAACATAACATGGAATTTGGTCCGAATAGAACGAGTTATCCTGTCGCCTATTTAAAGCACATATTACATTGCCATCAATACAAAAGTGTTTTTTTACGGCGTTTCGGCATGTCGTTTAAGTCAAGAAATAATAACAAATTGTATCAACAAAAATCGTGATCGAAAATGCCGATAAAAAAAAATATATGAATAAATCCATTAACAGTGTCGGACAAGGTCATTATTATTAATCCGTCACAAATGACAAGTGTCTGCCATGTTCGTGAACTCGTGTCTTGCTAGTTTTCCGATTAAAATGTCCAATAAAAATATCAAAATAGATACACACACGAGTGTTTAGGAAACATGACACGATAACGGATAAACTACACACACGCCCATAAACCAACGAGTACTTAAACCAAAGTTCAGTTCTAATGTCCACAGTAGTGAAGGCCGTCAATTACACTCGATGATAATATTTTTTATGTATTTCCATTTCAATAATGTGGTCTTAGTGTTTGTTTAATTACACAAAATATGTGTGTTATGACTGTTGTATATACATGCTCGTCGGTTAAACTAAATTATTATAAGAAAACCGTATTTATCAATAAAAACATACAATGTTAATGTTAGCAGTGTTATTTCACCAGAAACAAATTAAAAATTAATTGACATTGACATTGACCATTGACATTGAATATAACATTTCATTATTAATCGAAAACTTGAGTAAACAAGCTTTTAAAAGTAATATTTAATATCAACATAAAAGTTATAAGTAATTCTTCGTATTATTATTAGAACCCTATTCTCAACGACATTGTAGATAACACCATCTGAAACTTCTATTATCTCATTTTATACCAGAATGATGAAAAATAATATTATATAATATGTAAAATATCAATCATAGTTTTATGAATAAAATGTAATGTCATACTAATTGATAATAATATATTATTTTAATTATATAATTGTTTTTAGTTTTTTAATTTTTTACTATCAAGTATGGTTATTTCTACGATATCATTTATGAAATAAGAAATATTTATACTGAAAACAAATATTATTATTATTAAAAATGTTTTTTTATGATTGTTTCGACATTCAATCTATTATAAATGATATCTTGAAAAATTATGTTTGAAGGGCCAATATAAGTTGAAGAGCGAAGCGAATGGCGTATTATCGGTCTTTATCGCGTTTCTAGAATTTAAATAGAAATAAACTACATTTTATTCTAAAATATTGCATGCTGTTACTGATGCCTACTATAACTAGTGACTACCGTGTGCCTCGTGGTTAACCTTTTTTTTTAGGGATTCCGGGATAAAATATATTAAGTGTATGGTAATTTGAATAGTTGACGATTGCAATAGATAAAATAAAGACAATTTAAATATTAATGACTAATTTTTTTTATCTTTTACTAATGGGATATTGTTTTTTTAGTATTTTTTTTTTTAATCTATGACAGTCATACACGCCGACGCTCGACATTTCCGCTAGAAAACTACATCGGTTCGCCGTAATTACGCAATATGAATGTTACCGCAAACTTCCAAACGACAGGAATGCGAGGCGACAAGGTTAGGGCGTGGATCACACAATACCAACTATCGTGTGATTCACACACAATGCACGACTACGATGATGATGATGATGATATTATCATCTTATCGAATCGTCTTACACCAACATGAAACATCACTATACACGTGTAATCGAACACACGAAATCGACTTTTCTCAGTGGTAACACATCCGCGCGATAAAATATTAATTTTTGTATATTAATACTCTATTATTATTTTTTATACATTAAAATATGGTACTAAGGATGTATTTCGGGGCGTTCCGACGACAGCAACACAAAACAAACTGTATATGTATTATAATTATTATTATTATTATTTGTGTAAGTATTCGCTTACAAACACATGCCGCCGCCGCTGCAACCGGGTTACATATTATACCGGATCGGATGAATGACCTGAAATGCGCGTTTATGGGATGTCTCTCGTTCGCCGTAGTTGTATTTATCCATTGAAAACACTCGGCGATGATAATTAACCGTGGACGGTGCGCTCACTAAATCTCGGTCATCGTCATCATCTTTGTGCCAACGCGGAACATAGTAGTATAATAGTTGTGTGTAAAGTGAAAAATAAATAAACTGGTCGTCCGGTGGAAGCTGATCTCGACTCCAAACACTCGGATGTTATGCAAAATGTGGGAAAAAAAACGTTGACCCGGTTTTTGAAATTGTTATCGGTCAATTCGGCGCTCGATAGGAAAAAACGGCCACACAACAAAATGAAATACCGATTCAACTATATTTACTATAAAAATAATAATAATATCAGTATAAAACGCACTAAAACACGCGAGGCTAAAACGCGACACTTGGTGTTATTCGCATATTCATTACACGCGGAAGAGCTTTATGCAGTACTTTTTCAATTAATCAATATAATATACGATATCGAAACAACATGACTGTAAAGAACAGACAAATGCGGATGTAAACCATTTCCAGCAAGTGCACGCGGCATATCGTGTGTCATTATATTATATTATTATGTATAATTAAACCGTTACACGACGGTAGAGTGCAATAAAATCTTAAAAATACCGAGAATAAACGAATTTAAATCTAATCAAACACGTTCAATACAAAAAAAAAGATACCTAAACGATATTGAACTGACTATAATATGCAAATTATCGAAATGCAGTATGTTGCAAATTAAAGTTGTGGATAACTGATTAACATATTTTGCAGTAAAAATGTAATAAATTATTTTTCCTTTTATTTTTTTACAGTCATTATTAACATCATTTTTAATTATTACTAATAGCGTAATTTTTACCCGTGTATACTTAAATATACCAAACACCTAAGTGTATATGAAGCAATCAACGCAACATTTAGAACTGTTAAAAATTACACACGCAATGTTTTACACGAGCAAGGCATTCCCCATAAAAGGTAATTTATTTTATTTTATTACAATCGCGCTCTACCGTTTCATCTATGCTCTAATAGTCGCTGAACACAATTTAATATGTCAACGTCAGACAAAAGGTGTACAAATAATAAATGCACACAGACTATAATATTAAATATATTATGTACAACAACACTCGAATTATTTTGATTAAGTACAAAAATATATTCCATCTCTAGTCTATATCACATCATAATACAGAATACTACACAAGTATGTTTACAAATAATTATTTTCTACCAAGGATGAATATTTTACAGCGTTCGTGCACATTTAGCGTTTTCTAAATGTAATCAGGCGGATTTGTTGAACGTTAGCAAAATTTACTTAAACACACACATTAAGATAAACATTATAACGGACCTTCAAAAGCAACTGTTATTTTGAAAATAACACATCGTATTACATAAAAATTCAGTGACACAACCAAAGCACTCAAAATGCAAAACATTTCCTTGTACTTTTAAAAAAGTGCATACGCCCCAGATAACTCCCGCTGCTACAGAGGTAGCTTTACACAATATTAACATACAAATACAAAAAAAATAATTGGATAATAATCAGATAAATTAATCGCTTCCGAGAGATTATCACACAGGCTATGACAACTAAAAGAATACCTATTTAATTCTAAGAGACGTTATCCATCTCAATTAGAATTAAATCGATGAATTTCTCATTAGAAGCACATCTGTCAGCTCGGCCTATTGAAATTTCATCATTTTAAAATTTAAATTAAATACTAAACTATAACTTAATAACAATAATTCTATTATTATTGCCTTTTGGTAATTATAAGTACCTAACAACACTACTTCTCCTAATTTTATACCTTACTACTATTTTTGTTTAAAATAACCCCAAAACAATTACTATTCATATATACCTTCAATATGAAGCTGAAAGTCCAATAGTATAACATATTTTAAGTATATAAAAACTGTTATAATTATTATTTAAGATAAAGTTGTTTATGGGAATAATTATAAACTAAAAAAAATAACCTCTAAATAGTTTTAGGTGGTTTCTTTTTTTGTCTAAAATATTAATTATATCTAATTTGTTATTTCTATGAATATAATCATTGAGTGTAGGTAGTAATATCTATACAATAAAAGTATATAAAAAAAAAACAACTCAAAATTTAATCACTAGTGGACGAATTCTTGAGACACAAATTAAAAAACGTGTAAAAATTGACTTTTTTTTTCATTATGTTTTTACGTCACTTTTACTAAAGAATTTTAATATCTCTGTACAACAATTCTTAATAAACAAGGTATTGAATTTATATTATTTGATAACATTATAACTTTTTATAATAAAAAAATCAAGAATTTTCCGAAGTCCGTGCAATCATTAAATAATATCAATACGGCTAAGTATGACGTACACTATTATAATTCCTCTTTGTGCAATAATATTATATTTCTCATTATAGTTTACAAATGTATCTAATTAATTGCGATTAAAAAATTCTTGGCGGGTTACCATAACACGATTTTTTTTTAACCAAAGCAAACTACAGTTTATGTAGTTATGACCATGTGAACGTGTTATTAATAAAATTGCGCTATGCATTAATATATTCCCATAGGTATTTATCAACTGCACTTGGAGAATTATTATTAATCCGTTTGTTATTGAATTAATGATTGTGTATTCTCTTTGCATTTAAATGTCACCACAGTGTTGGTTCGCATTTATGTTTTACTATTGAAATGTCTATATAGTTTCAACTTCCAAGTCGGTTTGACAAATGTATCCGCACAAAAAGTTTCAATAGTCATGAATGATATAAAGGCTATCATTATAAACCATCGACATCGCCACATACAGAGGATTTTTAAAATGATTGAACAAACATATTTATTCAATCATTTTACGGCACGAACCAAACATCCTTCCTCCTAAACATGTGTAGTTTTAATTTATATATATGTATATATACTACGCAGAAAAAACATACTGTTCCATGGCACGTGTTATTAAAGAGGCCAGATGTCCGGTTAAAAACCTAAGATAGTAACCGAATAGTAATAAATACTCTGTACCAGACTAGTACTTATTTTCACGGACTTATTGCTGCAAGGAAAACACTACTTGAAAACGGTAACGTTAGACCAAAGTGAATGAAAAAATAAAGTCTTGGAAAATAAAGATTGGAACCTTTCGAGAAATACAATTTTTTTGTAAATATAATATAAAAATACCAACGATTCTTGAAAATCTCAAAATATAATACCAAGTAACAAAGCTAATATAAAAATTCGAAATATTTCTTATAATGGCTTGGGAAATTTATTGTTATTTGTTATGCGAGTTGATGAAAGTGGCATATATCTTATCACTATAAATGTATTTATGAGGAAGGTCAAAGACCCAGTAGAATCCGAATCGATAATGTTTTTATGAAACCGAGGCTGATTAACAACAATCACAAACCATAACAACGACTGGGTCTTATAAAATTAATAATCTTCAAACATTTCATAGATTTTCTTTTATTGATTAAATGTCAAACACTAACATCATACTACCTATAATATGTTTAGTGTAAATGTACTTATGTACTATTAGTACATAAGTAAATTAACAAGACAAACAAAATATTTGTAACATTTTAGGACAAAAAATTATTAATAATTTAACAAAGTCATTAATACAAAACATGTTTGCCATTATTTTTACACTAACAAAATATGTATAATAGAAATGTCAATAAAATATGTTCTTTGGTGTAAAAAAAACCGATTTCCATCGATACCTACCTATTCAAACTACCATTTTGTGTTATCCAATCAACCAATAATTTCTTATAACACGCTTTGTTTTTATGAAACGGGGCATTATGTATTCAAAATAAATATAAATATAATTATCCTCTTCCGGGTTCATACGGTAACTAACTAGATAACTAAAAATGTAATACACAGCACGGGTACTATTATGCTATACACGGCATGAATCATATTTTTTTTTCACAAACTGACAACGGTGCATTTTTTTTTTTTTATAAAACCTATATTCGTATATAGTTATAAGAATATAGATACATCTATACATTCGCGTTCGAATTTAAATGCAATTTTACAAACAGTAACGCTGTTAATTGTTGTGTACTTAACGATATAAACTAATAAATTAAACGACAAGGGTTGTTCTGCTCCTATGAACACCCCAGTGTGTTCGTGTCCATTCCCACGCGCCAGACCGTAAAATACTAAAAACAAGCGTAGGTGGTCACAGGACATAATAATATGCGATGAACCACTAACAATCGAAACACACGTCTTTACATTTCAAATTTAGCGTTTTACTATAATATATAGTAACCAGCATAATATTTACCTCGTTGGGCTCGGAGAGTTCGAAAAGATCCAGTCGATTGGCGTTCCATTGCTGGATAACGCTTCGCAGGGCCTCCCGTTCCTCGTGCCTCTTCATTGCCATAGTCATTTCTGGATTCATGGTAACCTGTAAATAATAATAATAATAGCATTAAACTATTGTATTTCACGTTCAAGGGTATATTTATGGTAAACGATATTGCTTAAAAAGGGTTTAGCGTGCCGTCTAGTATGACGTGCCTCTAAAGAAACACAATATTATAATACACGCGGCAAGGATTATTACTATAAAATACAAATCACTGCGTACACCAAATAATAATACCTAATAATAAAAATATTATTATCTACTATAGATGCCCATAATAATAACAAATGCCAACTTTACGTGTTTCCACACGCTTTAATTAAAATTACCAATGAACGTGGCCAAGTCGATTTTTTTTATACAAGAGAACATGATATGTATAAATATCACCTATATACGTCTTCAAATTGACCTTCTAAAAACATCATACCAGTTTCATTATTCTATAATAATTCAAAAAGCAAGAACGTCCAAACACTTCATCTCGAGAACCCTGTGGCAGGCATGCACTAACACAATACACACAATACAATACTACCATCTCCACAGACCTTCGGAAAGCATATAAAACAATAACCGCCTTAATGTGCCCAAACAAAACACTATTTGAATACATATTGTTCATGAACTATTAAGCTGAACAAGTGAACGACCCTACAATTATTTGTCGACAAGACCCCATATTTTGTATCTGATTTTTTAACGACAAAAATCAAAAAGGTAGGCAACTTAAAAAAAAAATTAAGATTTTTCAACGAAAAAATTGCAAGGTGGCTTGAAAGCTTTTTTAGCATTTCTAGTCGCCCCATGCATAGATATATACACCATTACACTTAAAGTCATTATTATTTTAATCGAATCAGTCGTTTATCATAATGATAATAAATAGAGAACTCCATAAAATAACAAAGTAATACAATTAAAAAAGAGTAATAACAGTCCCAAATGAATTCACAGCCATTATCGTTTTAACTGTATAAACTTATAATAAACTATTTAATAAAACAATAAAATAACAAAAAAAAAATTTATATATTCTGGATTCGTTCAGTTGGTATAATAATAAAATAAATAAACAATAAAAATAAAAACCCTATTTGAAAAAAAATAGCCAAAATGATTTTTTTCAATTTAATTTGGTCAGATTGTAATATCGGTTTTATACAATTTATTTAACTTGCGTGTACACTCCTAAACATAAAAAAAGTAATTTGATAATATACATTTTATTGCAAACGATATTAGAGAGAAACCAGATTTCACACTAATCATTTGAAGAATTTTATTACATAAAATAATGTTCCAGCCATACCTACATATTAAACTTTAATTATTTTAATCATAAAAACATCATTAAATTAAACGTACGAAGATGTAATTATATGATTTAATGGTTAAAATGTAATCAAATACCTGGAAAAAAATTGTTATTTACTACTTTTACGATTAATATAATACTTAATAAATTGAACATAAGCGGAGAAGTAAACGCGAGCACACGGTTAAGACAAAACTAAGTTGCATATTTATATTTTTCATGATGCCTTAAAAATGTGAACTCTATAATTATTATTTCTATGATGTACATAATATAAAGCACACTGGTCATCGAAAACAGAATGCCTCTTGATAGCCAACGGAGTTTTAAAACAAAAATAATATCGGTCGAAATGGATAACAGAACTTCTATGAAGAATCTTAACGGTGTTTTGTAGTGGTGTGGCTAAAACAAAACCCAGAACACTACCAAGTCCATACTGTCACGTCGCTTAAGCCTATTGAAGTGATGAAAACCTTATTATATTTTGTTAGACAAAACGCCAATACATGTGCACACCGCATTGTGTGGTGTCTGAGTATGTGTGTGACAAGAATCCTGAGTCGCGTGTCGTCCGGAAACGGCCACGGAATGTAAATCAAATAAGAAATAAAAACACAAACTCTAGAAGAGGCACGTGGTGCTATTCTCGAATTGTCTATCACAGTACAATAGTAATTGTTATTATACTCATGTGAGTATACAACATCATAGAACATACATCAACGTACAACGATCATCAAAATAACACATCAAAATAAATACATGCAAACACTTCATAAATAAATCGCAAACACTATTTTAGTTTTATACTTTTTAATAAGAACAATTTTTACCCCTTTGTTGCCTCCTTTCTCCGGACCATTCTTAATCATTACCTACATAGGTATAACTTGTTTCAACACAATTTTTAAATGAACTATTATGATATAGCTTTATTTTAGAAACAAAAAAAATCTCTATTTTAAAAACTTAAATACACATTCTTATACAAAAAAAGTTAACAACGGTATATAAGTTACATTATGGGTATTAACTGTAATTTATATATGTTGTTTATTTACAAACACACTATATTATTAAAAAACCCGGCCTCGGTAACCCATTTTAATATAAATGTAACATTGTAGTATAAAAAGAGACAAAAATACCGTGAGAAACATTCATATCAGAACTGAACCTAAAATCTATAACTAATCTTATCAGAGACTGTATACTTTTTACACATATACACGTAAGTAGGTCAAAATAATTTGGTTAATTTTAAATTCAGATAAGATATTTAAAGATATTCAACAGACGTGGGATAAATATGTTCTTTGAAATTTAAAGAGATAAGAGAAAACATAATTACTATCAAACTGTTGGGCAGGCATGTCCAAAAAGTGTTGTTAAATACATTGATTACGTATGCTTCTTTAGAAATTTCGTTTAAGCAAGTAAACTTTTTCAACTCAAGACTCAAAACTCAAGACTCAAGTCGTACTAACTTAAAGTACCTCCAGTTAACTATTTCTGACATATAGGACTGCAAACGTGGAGAAATCGGTCCAGCGCTTAAAATCGTAACCGTGAGATAGTATTTTTTCAATGCAATACACTTAGTACGCCAGTAAGAAAGTCGTTTGTGAAAATCTAGTATACTAAAACGGTCATTACGCATCGCGCTTTTAACACATAGTGTGAACTTGTCCATTTGTAACAAACATGTAATTTTACAGTGTACAGTTGAATAGATATATTGTCGTCTCGACAAGCCCGAATGGTCACCATGACCGGACCCGGCAATAATAAATAAATTCCGATTGCCGGCAAGTCCGTCCGCTTAATTGGCAAAAAGGCCAAATCAATTCACTACACACAGGCACAGTACAAATTAGGTATTTATGTTTTACGCTACATCCGTCCAAATCAACAGTATGGTTTTTGTAATTTCACAGCAAATAGAAAATAGTAATAACAACAATGAATTTCAAACAAATTTCTATTCTCAAGCACGAATAATATTGCTCGTATAAGCACAAATGTGCACAGCAAACGCCCACGTTCCAATATCATGTAATTCTCGTTCGGTGAAACAGTTCGACTGTTGGGCAATATTGCCGATAAGGGTACTTCCCTGGCCGATAAGGAAACCGTACAAAACCATTGGCGCCTGTTAAACGGCAATGTATGTGCGTGTTTGCAGGCCGTCTGGTCGACGTAGGTACGATTAAAGGGTTAAAACGTCATAAATATAAGTCGAATCAATAACAACCGCAAAACGCCAATTTGGCAAACAAGAATAATAAACTGTTCAGGGAAACTATACTTAAAAAAAAACACTGATAAAAGCTAATTTTTACTCAAGTTGATCGACCCCCGGGTTAATAGTTATATACGTCATCGTTGTGCTACGGTTTTATATATATTTTTTAACATTTAAAAGCCCGTGTCTCCCATGCATGCACGAAATGAGAGCGAGTAGAGATTTAGGCTCTTAGGATTTAATTATTTAATTTCAGCTTAATATCCACTAACAAATCTCATAGTTCCCACTTAAAATCGAATATCGTTCGTTTACCCAAGTATTGAATAAAAAAATTGTAAATAAAAACCTCTAAAACTAAGTAGGTTAAATTTTTAGTTTATTTGAATTTCATTTAACAAATAGGCTATCTTGAATATCATGTTCAGCTCTCAAATGTTCAAAGCTCTTATACAGCTTGCCAGTCAACTTGTTAAAATTTGATATTTATAGAATATTAATATTAAAAAAATTACTGTTTACTAGCCAATAATTAATTGTGCTTTTTTTCATTCGTAAAAATTCGTATTTTCACAATAACCCATTTTACCAACCACATAAGTCATATAAACATAATAGTTAAAATTAATATAGTTAAATTTATAAATATGAATTTATGTTAGAAATATATACTGAATAATTTGCTAAAAAAGAAAATAATTAATTGAGAAAATAGAAAAGATTCCAAAACTTTAAATTTTAAAGTCTTTTTAAACAAAATTTGTTAGTAAAGCCTTTCTGTTCAAGATAATTCCATTTTATCGTTTTAGTAGGTAGTCTCATATCTGTAAAATAGAACAAAAAATAAAAAATCAATAGTCTAAGGGGTTTGTTTTTTAAAATATGTCCTCCGCTTGTAACTTCAGAGCTGCGTCTAAAAACTTGTTTTACATTTTTTATAATGTCATAGCACGATATCTACTATATCAACCGAGTTCTTGAATATTTAAAAATATAGAAGTATAATGCGTACACATTTGAAAACGGTAACGCAGTTGTTATCGATTAAACAAGACATTATTATTGTTTTGGACCGGAAACCAGCGCACAGGTTACGCCTCCGGCAACCCTTCCGGGACGATAAGAAATGTCTAGTTTCTCGTTAATAAATACAAAATCGCTCTCGAGGTGGAAACGGTTCGGATTTTTAAACGCTAATAACAATAATTAGTAGCAAGTAAGAGTACTCCTCGCCGCACAGCGGACAGAACTCCATGGGAGGAAATAATCGACAGCGGTGACGGCGGGGCATCATCGCGCGATAGCGCATTACCGTTATTATTATTTATTATAACGTTGCGGTTGCTACCGACACCGTATTTTCGATGGACGGCAAAAAAAAATTAGACAAGATAAAAAACCGTCGGGGGTATCGTATATATTCACAAATGGAAATGTTACGGAACACACGGTGCGGCGTGTCTGGTCTAGCAT